ATGTGTATCCAGATCTCTGTCCATCTAAGCTCAAATTGGCTCTTTCTGTGATGGTTACATGAGGCTGGGTAAGGATGACATTGGGTGGGGAGTGAAGGAACGAATGGAAAATGAAGTTGGATGGTCCTGGAACAGTGTAGTGTGGTAGGTCTTTGCTATACCCTAACATATTGATGAGCCCCATTAAGTCCTATTTGGAACAAAATAACATATAAGTAAATAGCTAAAGTTAATGACATAGTATATCAGGAATTGTGGGACAACTTCTGATCTGTTAGATCACCTCTCCCAAATCAGATCTAACAAAAGCAAAATGAAGAATGAGGGAGAGAGAGCTGAAATAGACCCTATAATAGTACTAGAAAGATAAGTTTCAAAAATGATTAGTAGATATAATAAAAGCAATGCCATCTGATTAGTACGGGTTGTGATACCACATGAGGAGATCTCTGCATAAGGCATTTACCCTTAAACATTCTCATCAGCCCTTAGAGCACATGGATACTGTCTATTTTAAGATACAGAACAAAAGAAATAATAATGACTCAAGAGCAAAGCAAAAGCTAAGACGCACTGAGAAGCTAAGTGGGTGCCACAGACCAGGGGTACTGACACAAAAATGAAGCCTTAGACCAGCCCAATGCTATGGATTCCAAGGACACAGAAGAAAATGGCAGACATGGGAAACAATCGTAGTGAACCCATCTGCAAGAGACAGGAGGGACTGCCAAAGAACAGTGAAAAAATTCCACACCATAGTATCTGTTATTTATAGGAGATACTAAAGAAAGTGCATGAATCACTGCCATGAATCACCTTTTCAGAAAGCACTCACGTTCCAGGGAAACATGCCTGCTAGTTACTGATCTCTTCTGTACCCCAGTCATTGCGATAAGCAGTAAGTAATGCATACTTAGTCCTCGTAGCTGCTCTTGCAGAGAGCACTGTTATCTTTATTTTATTGAAGAGGGCACAAAGGCTTCTACAAGTTGAGTGACATGCTTAAGTCACACAAGTGCTAGAGCCAGATTTAAACTTGCTTTTGGTCTACCATTCTCAGTCAATATCATAAGACAGTGGGAAGCTCGGATGATGAGGGAGGAGACTCGGGGAGGCATATCCTGATTCTGCTGTGGGTCACACTTCGACTTGGGCCCCACATCCCTTCTCTGTGAATGACGAGGCCAGTCTAGCTGAATTTCCAAGCACTCTTCTAGGCCCACAGTGCTGTGAGTTTTTCTAACCAACACTCTAAGGTTTACAGGGGACATTGAGTCAGAAGGCACAATCCATTGCAGAATAGCAATGGATTGTATTCCAGGGCAGAATTTTAAAAGAGGAGTTGCCATTCTGATAGCAGATGAAATTTATTATGAAATAACAAAGGACACAGATACAGTCAAGGTCACCATCGAGGCAGGTGGTACTTAGAATAATGAAAACCTTGCCAGGAATTTAGCTCAGTGGTTCCATCGCCTGCTTCGCAAGCACAAGGTCCCGAGTTTGATCCCTGGTACCAAAAACAATCAAACAAACAAAGAATAATGAAAACCTAGTAATGAAACTAAGCACACATATCCCAAATATGTAATAGGAAGGCTCATAAAAGAACTGGCAGAAGTGCACAAAATATGGATCTGTGTATCTATTGAGAGAATCAGAGTTAAAAATCTGTGTCCAGACTTTGAAAAAATAAATGTCAAGAAAAAAAAGGTATTGATAAGAAGCTAAGGCAGGGCGGGAATTTAGCTCAGTGGTTCCGGCACTTACCTTGCAAGCACAAGGTCCCAAGCTCGATCCCCGGTACCAAAAAGAAAAAAAAAAGAAGCTAAGGTGAAGAAATGGGCATTCCTAACAAAATGGGACAAGGAGGGGGAGTGAAGTGAATGAAAAATGAAATTGGAAGATTTTAGTATAGTAATAAAAGGAAGAATTTGTTAATATTTTGTGAACCTAAAGATCAGAATGATATTACATTGAAGCAAATAAATAGAAACAAATCCATCTTGCTCTTGAACACAAAGGATATTTAGCAATTACAAAAAGGCAGTAAGCTCATATATCACATTTTCTCGACCATATAGAATAAATGATGAAAGAAAATAACATGAAACAGTTACAAAGGTGGCCAACTACCGAAAATTTCAAAATATTCTCTTAAATAATTTCTGGGTTGGGGATGACTTATTGCACATAATAATAGAAAATATCTTTGAAACCAACAATAAAACTCGCCATCTAAGAATTATTATAAATATATTGTGACAATATCGAAGTTCTGTGTCATAAGTAGAGAGTTTATAGATAAGAAAAAACATAAAATCACTTGACTGAATGCATGGCTTAATGAAATGCAAATTAACATGTGTTAAGGTTTCTTTCATACCTATGAAAGTAGAAAGAAAACTCAAAAAATGATAAAAATAAAAAACAACATTGGCAGGTTTTTAGTGGCATCAGGTTCTCTGCTGGGGGGATGAAAATGAAAATTAATGAATTCCTGCCCTCGTGGAGCCCAATAATAAAGAAATAGCAAAGACAGCAGAGGCCACTCATGGTGGATTGTTTGTAAGCACAATCCTAAAGCATCTAAAGGAATCACTGAGGGTTAACTTGGGAGGACAAGGGCTGTGTCTCTCCAGAGAAATGGTAACAAGAACACAGTGTTGTCCCTCTTTATCCCAGAAGTTGTGTTGCAAGAACCCAGTAGATGCCTGAAGCTGCTCATAATACCAAACCATATATATTGTAAATACATGTCATTTATAAATTAAGCACAGTAAAGGTTAACAATAGCTACTAGGACCAGGGATTTAGCTCAGTGGTTCCAGCACCCGCCTAGCACAAGGTCCTGAGTTCGATCCCCGGAAACAACAACAACAAAAAACAAAAACAAAGAAAACAATAGCTACTAGTAAAATAGAACAATTATAATATACTGTAATAAAAATTATGTGAACAAGGTCTCTCTTGAGTCAGGACAAATATGAGACGTGATAAAATATATGGTGAATATTTAAATTTAAAAATTTATTAGTGTAAGAGACACAATGTCATTAATTCCCCTCAAAATGCTCCCCCTTGCTTTGAACATGCTTACACCCATCATCACTTGCTGAGCAGTCCTGGAAGTCCTCTTTCATGGTATCTTTATGAGATGTAGTTAAAAAAAAAAAATACAGTGAAGGCTGCTGCCAAGTTCCATCCAGTGGAAAGAGACTCATAAAAACATGACGCTGTGTCCCCATTTACCTTTCACAGGACTCGGCACCATGTGACTTCTGGCTTTTCCCTAAAGTCAAAATGACCATGAAAGGGAAATGTTTTGAATCCATTCAGGAAATGGAAGCAGCTATGGCATTGCCACTAAAGACTCTCTTGAAAGAGAAAGAGTTTGGGTGGGGGCAGTTAATGGCAATGGGTCTTTTATAAATTAAAAAAAATAAATATTGACTGTATTTTTCGATTATACCTTGTATTAATATTCCAGGCTGTGGCTGACCACAGGTAACTGAAACCAGGGAAAAGGGAAACAGATAAGGGATACCACTGCCCACATGGGCGCTATTCCTTTCCTCTGGACACCCACCACATAGCAGGTCCGCAGTCAGCATCTGATGGATGACTCAGATGTGCATATGGAATTACAGCAAAACAGTAAAACACAAGTCCTGTATTATGCATGCTACTATTAGAACCGGTACCAAGGCTTAGATACTCACTTCAAAGTCTCAAAAAGGATTTTGCAATGATACATGAAGAGTACTTTCCTCTTCTCTATCCAGATGCTTAGATTCATCATTTTAAAATAAAAAATTATATCACCAGCTATGTGTTCCAACCACATGGACAATGTGCTCCATTTTATTTTGGAGCCTGTGGGTCTCAATTTGTGAATCTTGACATTGGTCACAACATATTGGTCAATACATACTGAACTTGCCTGAGACCTGAAGTGCACTGGCTTGCCTAGGGCAGGGCCCTGGTGCCACTCGCTCCTCTAGTGTTCAGCCAGGACACCTGGCGCACTGGAGCGGCATACACATTCTATCTTCCTTACATGAGACTAGCTCAGTCATTCTCAAGAATAATCCTTTATGTTGTCTTCAGAGAGCCCTGATTCAAAACTTTCTAGTACTATTTCTAAAAAGTACCTTGGGCTGGGGAGTGTGGCTCAGTGGTAGCATGTGCAAGGCTCTGGGTTTGATCCTCAGCCCCGGAAAAAAGTTACATGGAGTTGGAGGACCACAATGACAAATGCAATCAAAGTTCTGGCGTCCTTATGCTACCCCTGCCACTCAATGTCCAGAGCAGACAAAGTAAGCCTTGGTGACCTCTGACCCTCTAGGGAAGCAAGGACTGTGGGAGGCTGACTTACCTTTGGGTCACCTCCATGGACACGAAGACCAGGTAGGCACTGCTAGAAGTTCCGACAGAAGCCCGGGGGAGAAGCCTGCCAGGAGCTTGGGTGGGGGTACACCGAGAGAATGGCCCTGAAACTTGTTCCATTTGTGTGATAAGAAGGATCCCGAAGACAGAGATCTGGGTTTGCATTGGTATCTGGTGACACAAAAGAATCTGGCAACCCTGATTTTGGGCTGTGCAGCTTCGGACAATGGAGCATAAGCTGTGAAGGAAATAAAAAGGGGAACTGTGCCTGTGTGAGCTGTGCTGAGTCTGGAATCTGGGGAGGAGTTTAGGGGGATGGAATGAAGAATGGCCTTCTCTAACCATATTCACTGAGTGTCCAAGCACTTAACTCTCTTCTGGCTTTGTAGCTCCAGGACTGAAGATGGGCTTGGTTGTTTTTGCCCTGCCTGCTTTTTCTTCCTATTCAAAAGTTGACTTGAGCTTGGCAGCAGCTCCTTGCAACTGGGACAGGCAGGGGCCATGTGTTGCCTCCACACTGAGCTAGGACTTGGGCTCAAAAGACTCCTTAGGACTAGCAACAGGCCAATGTGGGAGGATCTTGGGGTAACCACATCTTTCTCCTCCTGCAGGCTGCCCATTCTCCAGGGAGGCACGTTTGCTTTTTTGGCACCCTCTCTGGCCATGCTCTCTCTTCCAGCCTGGAAGTGCCCAGAGTGGACACTTAATGCCAGCCAGGTGGACACCAGCTCTCCTGAATTCACTGAGGAGTGGCAGAAGAGGATCCGAGAGGTAACAGGGCCAGGGAGTAAGTGGGAGAGTTGTAGGGGTGAGACAAGGACTCCTGAGTCTATTCATTTGTTCAACATTCATTATCCAACTCCCTGCCAAGAAAGACCCTGGGCGTTAAGATGCTGATGGATACAAAGACAGACACAGATCCTCTCTCAAGGAGCTACAGAGTGGTGGTGAGGTGGTGTGGTTGGTGAGGTAGCATGCGAAGGAGAGAGAGAGATTCCAACAATAAGACAGAAGAGGGGAATTTCAGGAACTCACAAGTATAATGAAAAAAAGAAATGGGGATGGAAGGGATTGTGGCTGCCAGAGAAGAGAGCAAAGATGGGTGTTCTCAGGAGCATCCTTCTTTCAAGGTGGAAGAGTGTGAGTGACAGAGACCTCCGTCTTTCCTTTAATACACTTCCTCTTTGTTTTTGTGCTGGTGACATGTTAAGACCCTTAAAGCAAGAGGGAGCAAAGTATGATTCTTGGAAATCCCATATGAAATCTGTTCTTTGGTTTGGTTTGGTCTTTTTTTTTCTTCTCATGAGTGAAAAATCATGTATATAAAATAATATATAATTAT